AGAAAAAGGCTCAAAATATAAAATATCTATTTTTGGAATAGATCTTACTACCCCATTCTGTTTAAGGTGTAAAACACCAATGACTATAATACATGAAATCTTTAATTTTCCTGCTGCAGTAGTTCCCTATATCTTAGCATCCCTTGGGGATTTGTCTATTATGATTTAAAGCTTTACACTAAAAACAGAATTCTAATAGGTGAAATTTCAGGCATTGGTATATAAATAGGCAAAAGTGGGGCCTCACTTTTGCAAACTCATTTTGAGAAATTTTTGGCTAAAACTATCTATGTATAATATTGTTCACCCCATGCTGGTCACCCCCTCCCACACACACACACACACACACACAGTTAGAAGTCAGCACTCTAAAAAAGTCATTGTGCTTTATTGCACTGTGCCCCTGTGACAAATGCAGCATCACACAAACTTTGGTGGAGGACACTCATTAGGAGTTTCCTCTTTAGTAGAAAAAAATTGATGCAGTAATCAAGAAGGTCACAGTGTGGGTAAGTCACCATGTTATGAGTCTTTCATTTTCAGTAATTAAAGTGAGCATGTTATTGGAAGGTTTAGAAGCCCACCCAAAGTCATTCACAATAGCTGCAATTAAGAAACTGGAATGCCAGTTAAAGTCTTTTGAAAGGAACGAAATGAGACTGACCAAGCATATAAGTAAAATCCCCGTAGAAAATGACTAAATTAAGGATATAGACTATCATTGACCCATGCCATCCCTCTTTCACATTCATTCCAGGTATCGAAATTTCACTGTACATTTGTCCTTTGGCTCAAATATTTCCTTTCTACAAATGCAACATTTAAAGCTACTTGCCTTAATTTTTCTTTTCAGCGATAAAGAAAGCTAATTTCACCCATCTCTGACTCTCACTTTTCCTCCAAACATGTTTTCAGGTCACCTGAGACTGTTCTAAAAGGTTGGACGGTATTGTTTAATTTCGAAGATCATTTCTGCTGGGACTGTATCACTAATGTCTACTTTCAGGAATGTACCTTAATTTACTCTCTCCACAGTGGCAGTGCTGCTGTGTCTTAAGCTTAGTCAAAAATGCAATTGGGTGCTGGCAGGTGGTGTGGTGGTTAGGATGCTGGACTCCCACATGGCTGACTGTGGTTCAAGTCCTGAACCTGGTGGCTTGCTTTCTCACTTTCCCTCTCTTTCTCACTTGCTTGCTCTGTCCCTCTCTGGTCAAATTAAAAATAAATAAATAAATAAATAAAGTTAAATAAAATAATTCTTTTTTAAAAGTGCAGTTAGGGTCTCTTGAATTGCCCCCATGTAGAATCCAGAATTTGGGTCCCACCCTCCAAGATTCTGATTCTGTTTCTGTTTTGGACCAGGAATGAGACTTGAATTCAGGAGTGGGAAGAGAAATTCCCACCATCAGATTGTTTTTTTTTTTTCCTGGGAAAAGTCTAGTTGTACTAGCCTGGGACTCAGGGTCTTTTCCATAACTAACATTTGGCAGAGTTTGGAGACACTTCGGGTTGTTGCGACTGAGGTGGGTGTCACTGTCATCTGGTGAGTAGAGGCCAGAGATGCTGCAAAACATCTTACAATGTACAATATGCCCCTTACCTCCCATAACAAGTGATTATCCAAAATGTTTGTAGAGGCTGATGCTGGAAACTTCTATGTTAGCCAAATTGAGTGGATAATAGACAACACTAAACAGATACACACTAAACAGAGAGATGTATTTTATCATTACCTAGAATATTTTCTCTTTCCCCCTGAGCTTCATTGTATAGTGCTTTTATATGTGAGCCTGCTTCTCCAGCACGGTGCTTCCAAAGCAGTGTTTTGGAGGGATAAGGACTGCAGTTGCCTGATTTTAAGAAATATTTTTGCATCTACTCAATACATATTTGTTGGATTCCTTCTTTATGCCAGGACCTGAGCTAGATCATAGTGTACCACAGTGAGCAAGTCTCATTGGAACTTTACCTTCCTGGAGCAGAAACACGGGCGGAAACATTGAGGCTTCCATCTTGACATAGTGCTCATGTGTGCAAATGAGTAAAGATGTCACAAGGAAGGTCTGTGATGGCAGATTGTGGGTGAGGCGATTCAGTCGGAGGTGGAGAGCTCCTTCCTGGCCTAAACTCTGAAAAGCATGCAAGAAAATCTTTCCTTACATCCTGCAAAACTACCGAAATAAGAGAAACAACCATATATCTGACAGCACAAAAGGAAGATGTCAAGAACTTAGGGGTTACACCCAGTCCTGGCAACACTTGCTGGCATTTGTCAGGGTTGAAATTAGGTCAGCGGGATAGATCATAAGAAGAATGATTCATGTGTCTTTACTCTCTTTGAGTGAAGGTTGTTGTTTCTCTGTGGGAGCCATTTTCTTTCACTTCTTGATGATTCTGCTATCTACGTGTGTTTTTTGTGAACATTAATCCTATCCTTTTAGTCTTTTGAATGCCCTCTTTTCTTGCACCACCAAAATTCTCCTTTCCTTTTTCTTCATAATTCAAACTTGCTTAATAAAGTTTATCCTTTCCCTCATAAATAAAATAAAAAAACAAAACAACTGCCAACAAATTAGATTTGAAGATCACACTCAACATAAACTTTGAGCTTAATTTTCACCCTTAATTTCCAGAGGGTGCATGTGCTTGCTAGAGAGAGAGAGAGAGAGAGAGAGAGAGAGAGAGAGGAGAAAGCATCCCTCCAGTGGGGCATGGTCACACTGCAACTTCTTCTCTGTATCTCCATCTTTTTGGGATTTTGGGGCATGTGCACACTCATATCTGGTGTGTTTTTCAAGCCACCAGGGCCAGACTAGAACCATGGTTGCCATGTGGGATGCAGCTTCCCTTAGCTACCAGGCCATGAGGCTGGCCCTGAACTTAATATTTTAAAGTTAAAGATGCTTTTTGTATATGTATCCACACTTATGCTTTCTGTCCTTTAATATTGCATATTGTTTTAGAACAGAATATGTGCTTATTCATATTCTTAGCTTTTTATTGTGGTTATTCCAAAACAAACAAAACGTGAGGTGAGGTGGTATTTTTATGATGTTTTATGAGGAGAGAGTGAGAGAAAGTTTATGTACATAAAATCTTTCAGTTTATGTACATAAAAACTGTCTTTGTTATACATTTTAAAATTTCTATTTAACCAAAATAAAATTATTAGTGTAAATAGTCACATACATACATTTGTGAGTACTTCAAAAAGTTTATAGAAAAATGGGAATTAAAGTATTAGTGTATTTTAGTACAAAACTTTTTAAAAACATTTTGCTACAAGGTGTATGCACTTGCCAGATAGAGATGGAGTGGGAATGAGAAATCACCACCCCCCACACACACACACTTGGGGCATGGTTGCAACATAATCCCTTCTCCTCCATTTCTTCTTCCTCTTGGGGCTTTGGGTGTGCATGTGCATGCACCCAGAATGTTTTTCAAGCTGCAGGTTCTTGGACTTGAACCACACAGTTGGCCATTTGCTATCCAGCCACCTTAACCATCATGCCACCAACTGACCCAGTACAAAAGATTTTGAAAATCATGTGTGGTTTTTTCATAATATGCATTTTGCGTGAATTTTGAAGACCTCTTATATATATATAAGTATATGTATATATCATGAAAATATATGTATACATCTATATATATTCTATTTGTATATAGTAATGCTTATTACAGCATAATTTGTAATAAAAAGGTGGAAGAAAACAAAAAGCAACAGCAAAAGATCTAAAACCTAGAAACCACTAAATATCCATCAATAAAGGAAAGCATAAATAAAGTATGTTATACTCATATTAGGGAATGTTATACAGATATTAAAATGAGTCAATCATGGACCAACTGGTGGTGTGGTGGTTGAGGCTGCTGGATGCCACATGGCCAACTACACGGTTTGAGTCCTGGAACTGGTGGCTTGAGAAACACTCTGGATGCATATAAATGCCCAAAAGGAGAAATGGAAGAGAAGGGATTGCGCATGATCATTCCCCATGAGGGGTGTTTCTCTCCTCAGTGAGTGAATGTGTTCTCTGGCAAATTAAAAAACAACAAAAAAAGAATGAGTCTACCTATATGACCTGACTTGAAAGATGGTAGATATTCTTCAGTAGGATTGCATGCTAAGAAAGAAACTTAATACATGTACACATGCATTCGTATGAAAATACAGGGAGCATGGAAGGATAAATTTAAATCTTGTTACTGGTTATCTCAGGAGAATAGGGGATAGAGGGGATGGACTCATTAAGAATATCTATTATTTTTGTAATTAAAGAGAAAGTAGAAAGGTTTTCTGAAAAAAAAAAAATCGCAGTGCAATTTGTGGGGCTGACCAGTTATCTATCTGTTTAGAGTATAGACCAAAAAGGAACTTGTTTCCAAGTCCCAACATAGCCTTGATTGCTGAAGTGCCTTTTGAGTGTTCCATCAGACCTGTAAATCCTCACACACACGTGTAAGTAAACTATAGGGAGAATGAGTGTGTTAAAGAAAGTGGGAAGGAGATGGCCAGCCCTGTGCTGTTATTCAGAGTCTCAAGTCTCTTATATAGAAAGAAGCTTCACTCTATCACTTAGGCTCATAACAGCTGTCAATTCAAAAATTGGGGGCATTTGACTCTACCACTTTGTATATATCTCTTCAAGACTGAGTGTCATTTGTGGTTGAAGGTGTGCTTTGGAGTCAGACTGCTTGGCTTTGATTGCTCACCCAACTATATCCAAAGTATCTGATGTTTGTAGTAAACCTAATTGTGCTTCAGTTACCTTGTTTGTGAGAATAAAGTTACAAATGAAAGTCCTTACTGAACTGGATGATTTTTGACCTATGTTGGCTGTGGAAACAGTGAAGGATAAACACATTTTAAAATCCAAAGAAATAACTGAATTCACAGGAGATAGTGCCCACCATGGAACGCAAATGAACATGAAAGACTCGTTATAATTATACTTTGATAGTCCTAATGTGTTTTCCACCTTCTTATTTTGCAGACCACCATTTTCAGCACATTAGCCAGTGAAAAGTCCTTATCTGACTGCAAAAAGGTAAGTCAGCCTCCAAGAATTCCTGCATGCTGTCAGAGTAATAAAGGCTTCAGAGCTGGTGACGTTCAGTTGAAGGGCTATGTTGTCAATGGACTGTCCTGGTGGCATATTATGGCCCTCTTTTTTCAGAGATGGAAATATAAATGATTCACTTTAGTGATGCTGGAAACTCTATTATCATTTGACAGTATTTTGTTAGAGAGAAGCTCAGGCTCTATGTATTTCTATCTTGCTATAATCAGACATTTTATTCTGCAGGGTGAGGATCAAGGGGGTTTAGGGCATGTTGTGTTAAACTGCATTTCAAGCTTCTATATCTTTGCTTGCAAATTTAAATCTAATTCATTTAAACCCAATACAATATAAAAATGATATAGTATTTTGAAAGATGATCACAGAGCATAAAGATCTGGTTTGGATTCACCACAGTCAAGTTTGAGAAGCTGTCATGCTTTGCAAAAGGATTAGCTTCACTAGCATCTGATGGAAGATATCCCTGTAATAGATCTTGTGTGAAAACTGCCTGCTATGGCAGCATGTCTAATTCATAGCCTTCGTGGTCCAAGGGTCACTTTTATCCATCTATTTAATCTCAGAATTTACTAGATCTTCTCCTTCTTGGGGGGAAAGAAGTGATTTAGCCATCTAAATAAGTCAAATAAATTTTTTGACACTATCTAGTGATAAAACCAGGTGCGTCAAAGTTGACCTATACATAACATGAGTTACTTGGCATTTCTTAAGATTTTATGCTATGACATTATTGGCTGTGCTGTTTCCATTTCTAATGTTGATTGATATGGAAGGAGGTAGCAGGCATTTTATCTTTAAAGGTGGTGTCAGAGCCCACTGTTCTGCATAGCATCTATTTCATTATTTAGCTAGTTTTTAAATTGCCTGTTAATCTCCATGTTGATTGAGTTCTGCAATGTTTGCCTTGTTCTCTGCATTGAGTTGTGAACTGCTTGAGAGTGAGAGCTCTGTATTATTTTTAGAATCATAACTCTTAGATCACGAAGGGACTTCAGGGGATCTCTAATCTCACGTTTTACCCCAGGGTGGCACGCCATTGTTATCATTTATAAATGGGCCTCTAGCCTTTACCTGAACAGTCTATTAACAGGAAACCCAGTGAGCCCATAATGTGTGGAACCCTAATAAGACAATTCGTGGTATTACAAAGTTCTTCATTCTGTTGAGCTAGCATCTTTGTCCTTTAGATTTCTACCTAGTTATTTAAATATGAAGCCAGTATGAAGCCAGTTAATATGCTTTCTTCTGAATCTCTTTCTACCCCATCCCGGAGCTAATGATTGTTCTTCATTTCTAATAGGACATTAATATGATTAATTTTAAATAGCATGTATTATGGGGATCTGGCTATTTGGTTTTGAAACCCAAGTCTGTCACTTATTACTAATGTGACTTTGGGTTGGCCATATAACTTATTGGGGTCTCACTTTTATAGTCTGTAAAATGGGGATAGTAATTGTGCCTACTAATAATACATGAATGAATATACATAAAGTGCTTATGACAACGCTCAATGCACTGTTAGTGCTGTGTTACCTACACTGGTTATTATTGCTTTTAGACCAGGTTATCCTTTTTTTGCTCTTTGGGCAAACTGTTTAGGTGGTAGTGACACATTGTGGGCTTTTTTTTTTTTTTAATAAAATTACTTTTTTCTCCCTTTTTAAATTTTATGATTACCTATTTACATTCAATCATTGCACATTTCTATAGCATATGATATGGTTTTCTAAAATATGCATGCAGTACATGACAATAAAATCAAGACTATTATCATACACATCATTTTAAATGAAAATTTATTTCTTGAGTGAGGGAGGAAGGGAGAGAGAGAGAAAGACTTGACAGATTCTTCATGCAGCAATCCTGCAGTCAGCCAGGCTCATGGGTGTGCCTGTGAGCATGCCCAGCATGTTCTGGTAGACCTGGGATGCGAACCTGAAACCTTCCCATACGGCCTCCAGCATCCCACAGCAGTGCTTCTATTGTCTGAGAACCAGGATTAGGCCACTCTTGCAGTTTTTGATTGAGCTCATGAAAAGACTTAGGTTTTCCCTGATAGTACTTTATAAAGTCAGGTGCACACAATTACCGACCAGAGAGATAGGTGTTTAATATTTCATTTTTGACATATTTCTTTATTAATATGATTTGCTGATATTGGTTAGAGCCGTGTGACTGCCATTAATATACCTGAGTGTTTCTAGTTATAAAAATATATATATTATTATTGCCTATTTTATGATGTAAAGTAGCCTATGAAGTGTTCTGTTGCATATATCTATATCTATCTATCTATATGAAATCTCAAATAAATGCCCTTTTAAAAATGTAAAGAAATATATTTGAATAATTTAAAAAAAAAACATTGCTTATAGAATTTTATTTTCTTTTATTAATTTTTAATTAATTAATTATTATTTTTTTCTGAGAGAGATTTTTGCTATAGGGCACATGCACTCACTGGACAGAGAGATAGAAAATGAGAAATCATCTCCTGGGGGGATGGCCACGCCACAGTCCCTTCTCTTCCATTCTTCTCTCGGGATTTTGGGCACACAGGCCCACGTACCTGGCATGAGTTTTAAGTCCCTAGGTCCTGGACTCAAACTGTGGTCAACTACGTGGGAGTTTAGTGACATAACTACTATGCCATCTGCTAGTCCCCAGAACTTTATTTTTGGTATTTGGTCTTTAAAGATTTGTAGACTTCAGTAATTTTAGACTTTAGGGATTTTGATCTTTAGGGATTTCAACCTTCAAGATAGAGTCCAGGATTTTGCCTTTCAGGATTATGACCCAAATCACTTAAAAATGTTTGAGGGGATTTCATTTTTATTCAAAATTAACCTCAGCTCCTCTTGAGAAGCCATTCCTAGCCCCATTTTCTCCAGCACCTACTCAACTTGAGAAGTTCTTCCCGTATCTCTAGCTTTATTTCCTGGTATCCCACTAGATGCTGGAGTCTGGAGGCCTCAAGCAGACTTCTCCTCAATGTGAAGCTCTTCACTAACTTAATTTCTGCCTACAAACTGTCTCCTTTGCCTGGAATGCTTTCCCCTCCAGCTTGTCTATTTGTAAAACTTGCCCTTTTCCATGGAGGAATCCCTCACTTTGTCACTGCCTTTTTAGATACCATCTTGACTTCTCCAGGAAAGATTAGAGGTTTTAACCCCTGGTTCATGACATTTTGTACTCCGTGTAACCTAACAACAATCACCCAACTTGTCAAGTCTTTGGTATGTGCTTGGCCCTGCGAAAAGTGCTATATGTAGATTATCTCATTTGATTTTTATGACAACTCTCTGAGGCAGGTAATATTATTATTACCATTTTGTGGATAAAGAAATTGAGGCCTAGAGACATTAAAGAACTAGTTCAAGGAAACTGTCATAGCAGGATTGGTGCTGAGACATGAACTGAGGCAATCTGATGCAAAAACATTGCTTATTTTTATTTCCTTCTCTCACTGGAATTTAAATACTTATATAATGAGTCCAGCTTACCCCTAAACTATAAGCTCTTGAAGGGGAGGAACAATGACTGATTCTGTTAGTAATAATAATAAACAAAATACCTCACAGGTACTAAGAGCTCAGTAAAAGTTTAAGCAATGAATGAATTTGTTATATACCTGATTATCAGTTAGTGCCTTAGTATTCTGGGACTGTTTTGTTCTAAAAAGAATTCTTTTTGTTCTTTTCACAAGAGTTGAGAAAAGTATTTATATTCAGAATTTAGTTATGAAGGTAGTTTCTGCACTAAAATAAAGTGTTAACAGTTAGCTGGTGAGATAGGAATGTTTAGTTTTGCCAAAGAGGCCAGATCTCTCAAGGTCTGCCTCTCCAACACCACCTTATAGAGTTGTAAGAACCCTTGCTTTTATTTTGAGCCAGTGTCCAATGTACTACTTAATCTGGAAAACCTGGAACATCTAGGGAAGATACATGAATTCATTCATTAAGGGTTATTTATGAAGTGTCCTGTTGCAAAGCAGTTGTCATTGTTAACATGGTACAGAGAAGAAACTGGTGCAATGAAATGACTTAGATTATGATAAGCCTAATTCATATCTTCTCATTTTTTTCCCTCTATAACCTCTCCATCCTAGACGTGTGTTTAACTTCAGGTGACAAGCTGCAAGATGTGTATTGGGTTCATGAACACCAGAGAACAATCCTCAAACATGCTCCACAATGTCTCATGCCACCTGTTTTATTTTTGTTGATGTTTTTCATCTTCATATCTTAATAGTTTTATACCTATCAGTGCAGAATATTTGAGACCAGTTATTCTGACTCAGCATTATTTTTTGCAAGGACATAGCACTATTGAACTTCCAGCATTTAAATTAATAAGTAGGTACCAGCAGATGGAGTAATGGTATGTCACTGGACTTCCATGTAGTCAACCATGGTTCAAGTCCTGGACCCTGTGGCTTAAACTCATACCAGGCATCTGTGCATGGGTGCCTGAGATTCTGAGACGAGAATGGAGGAGAAAGGGTTGTGGTATGGCCATCCTCCTGGGGGATGATTTCTCGTTTTCTATTTTGCCATCTCTCTCTGTCTCTCCAGTGAGCTCATGTGCCCTCTAGGAAAAAACAAACAAACAAACAAAAACAAAACAAAACAAAACAACAACAAAAAACTCTCTCAAAAAATTAAGAAAAGTCCAAAAGAGGCATCTTCCCTCCTTCTTCAAGGCTTGCTGTGTTCCCTGTGACTCTCACTCCTGGGTACAGATCACAGATAGGCAAGGAGTGATGGACAGGCCAGGGTGATGGGTGGGGTGAGGCCCAGGGATAAGATGAATCCCATGGATGCTTTAAAATTTAGGGATATCTGTTCTGCACATTACTTGGAAATGGCAAACTGTGGCTTTTACAGCTTGGCATCAGAATGTCCTGCTTTATCCTGCTGTAATTTCTATCTACATATCGGAACCTAGAATGCGATCTGGAATCC